AAAGAAAAAAAAAGAAAAAAAAAGAGAAATATAATGACAGCTCCTTCTAGAAATAGGTAGTTTTTTGTTCACTAAATGACACTAGAACATACCTCCTGGGTAGACTCATCAACCTCCTCTAAGAAATCCGGTCTGCTGAAAAGTTCTTGTACTTTTGCTTCAAAAGCCTGCACGTCCACATCACCATTTAATACACCGTCGAGACGTTCTCGGATCTCCAACACCATCTCCTTAAGCTGACCTTTGAATACTTTAGCAGACAATACATCCATGCCGCGTGTCTAACAAAAAACACATAGGAAGATTAGTAACAAGAAACCCCTCATATCTAGTATCTTGAAAGGTAAACATACAAATAAAAGATTGTACTTCAGATAAATTACAACACACCTTCTCTACACTATTTGTTAAAAAAACAAATAAACAGAAAAATAGAGAAATTGTACCTTGTAAAATACATCAAAGGCATGGGGGTTCAGAGGTTGGAAGTAGAAGGGGACATCAAGGGATTCCGGCTCATCCTCATCCTCATCCTCATCCTTGGCATATTTTCTCTTATTAGTAACCTGCAAAACCCATTTGTTTTACAAAATCTTGGCTAAATCAAAAGCCACAAACAACATTATATATACACACACATACATATACATCACAAACATTATACATACACAAACACACACGCATACATCAGCAGCCTTTTCAACCCAATTTTTACATGAGAATTTAATGATTGCAGTAGAGTTACCCCAGAGGAATCCGAATCAACTGAGGAGGAATCTGAGAAATCGGCCATCGGATCCCCTGTGGCTATAGAATCCTAAAAATCCAAACCAAATTTTGCATAAGAATTGAACAAATTGCAGAAGACTGCCTCGTGCATCTTCAGCACAAATTATCGTCAATAGTTAAATGTAGCCGGCATCTTCAACACAAATTATCTTCAAAAGTTAAATCTAAAATCAACACAAAAAACAACATTTGTGAATACCGTACGGCGTGTAAGCTACCTAATCTATCTATCTATATACTACTATCTACTAGTGAGCACAATACCTAAGCACTCCGGACTTTCCACTGCATATAGTAATACAAATACCAATCCACACGCAACACTTTAATAAAAAACACATACCTTTTATACATTTCAATTCTAGGTGAAAGTATTTTCTTTTTCAGTTTGTTCGTAAATACACTCCTATCAGATGTGAAACCACCACGAGGGGAATATAATAGGGGGCAGTAGATGTACGCTACACTCTTCGTATCAAACTTACAGATCACCTCGAAAAAAAAGAGCTCGGGTTTTACATGAGTTGACAGAATGAGAACCATACAACTCTTAAAAAGGTCATATTCACAGCCAAAAGTTGAGCCTAATCTCAAATGCCATGAAACACCAACAAACACATGTCCTAACAAAGAGTTATATCATAAACATAAAATGGAATGATATCTTCAACAGTGGGTAGTACTTATAGATCCAGATTAGAATTTTATAAACCAATTCGCAAACACATTGGTCATATTGATGTACCTTCTTATGATTAAGCAAGTAGTCATCAAGTGTAGGCTCTTCCCAGTTCACGGACTTGTTCTCGTTGGCAGCTGAGTAAGAGTAACCAGATGTAGTACCAGACTGTCTTCCGAAAAGGTCATCCAAGTTGGGACCTGGAAATATCAAACACGTGCGTAAGAACTAAGAACAAGACAACACCATCAGCGAAAAGAACCATAATAGAACAGGGCAAATTAAGTTATAAAAGATGACATGATTCACCAAGAATAGAACACAGATTGACATAAAGCCATGTATTCGAGCACACAACCAATAGCATAGGCGACTATTTAAGCAAGAAATGTATATTTCCAGTTTAAGAAACCAAATCGATGTGCCCCTTCCAACTGAGCTGATCGGAAGAAACTCCATAAACCAATGGACCAAGAATACAATCCGAATCGTTACAACTAGGACCCGTTTCTAGTGCACTACATTATAGATAGGCTGAAATGTAGCAGGAAACAGATAAAATACCACACAATAATCGTCTGTTAATTAAAATCATATTCTACAAGCACCATTCCTGTCGCTAAAAATCTCGCCCAACAACATCACCAATCGATGAATCTCTATCTCATCAAGGCTACTGAACCCAAACCAAAAGGCCAAAATAATGATCAGACAAATATTATTAAACACCACGAAGAGGACATCAAAACCAGATCAGGCGCACAAACATCAAACGGAGAAACAAAAAACAGCACGCTATTGAACAGTAAATTAGAAAATAACAGGAGAGAGAGAGAGAGAGAGAGAGAGAGAGAGAGAGAGAGAGAGAGAGAATAAATGAAAATACCCTTGTTCCTGAAGATCTTCTCATCGCCTGGCGGAATTTCATCGAAGGACACCATTGAAGAATTAGTTAATTGCAAATACAAGGAAAAGCGAAAGAGAAGACGATATTCGATTTCTGAAAGGTAACAGGCGGAGCAAGATTAACAATGGTACCGTGCCTCTTTACCTTTAGGCGGCGGGCACGTGCCCCACATAATCAAAGATCTCTTACAGGGAAATATACGAAACTTTAACATGTGTTCATCGTGGGTAGGGAAGCATTTCTAATATAAGTAATATATGTTATGATATATTTATTATAAAATAATATATGTGAATGATTATTTTGCTCTCGATGTAATTGAATTATTACAGTTGTGTCATCAGAGTTTTCTATAAATAGTAAGAGTGCGAGATCGAAAATGAAGAGAGAATAGGTCTTATTACGATTTATTATATAACTAGTACAACACCGTGTATTACACGAGTTTTTGCTAATTTTTTTCTTAAAATCTAAAATTAATGAGAAAAAGTAGTTTGAAAATTTAAATACCTTTTATAAGAATATATATATTATTATATATCTATTATGACACTTTTTATTTGTGCAACTTGTGTTATATTATATTAATTTTTTTAACTTACAGTATATAACTACATTACATATAAATATATCAATTGAAAAATAATTTTATTTTTCTAATGAATTTCAATAAATATTATTATTTTATTATTATTATAAAGATAAATATAATTTATTTATTTCATATGTATACAATATGGATGTCAAATCGAAGATCATCAAAAGATGATTAATTTGATATATTATATATGTAAAACCGATAAGAAATACAAAAATTATCAACTTTTAAAATACATTTATAATTCAATAGCTTATTGAAGGAAACAAATCAAAATTCAGGGATATATTAGTCATTTAGTGCCTCACTATGTAAATTTACAAAGAATTAGAGGGTTATATTAGTAAAAGTGATATTAAAATACCTAAATTAGCTAAATAATATTTATGGAATACCCGAACCTAGATTATTAATTATTAATATATCAATATTATTTATCCAAACCTAATTACGAAGCATGATTCTTCGCCAAATAGGATTCCGAAGCACCAGAAGCAGCCACGTAGGCTCAGCGCATTCTGGAATTATATATAGGGAGGATTACGAGGTCGTCACTTTGCTCGTGCTTAGAATAATTACAGGAGTTTATAACAGTTTAGAGAGAGAAAGTAGAAAGATATATGAGTTAGTTAAGGATTCAACAACCCCAAAATAAACAAAGTGAGTTACTATTTATAGTATCAATAAATGTTACTCCTTCCTATTTTTATTAAATGTCATTCTAGCCTTTTCAACTATTTGCCAAATAAATGTCGTTTTGAATCTTTTGTACATATTTTTCCATTACTACCCTCATTTAGGCAATGAATACATTACGTCTTTTCATATTCACTATTCACTTTTTTTCAAAACATTCATCTCTATCTTCATTAAATAAGGTTATTATTGACAAAAAAATATTCTTAATTAGTGTGCAACTTCTCAAAACGACATATATTAAAAATATGAGGTAGGCACTGTTCACGGTCTTGTCGCACAGTGTCTTCACAGGGCAGGTCGGCGCCTTTCTGACAGATCATTAAATACGATTTGAGTCCCTGCAATCATTACCTGCAAGGCATTTAATGCACACATGTGGTGCATTAAATGTTGCCACCCCTTTTTTGTCGGGCTAGATGCCCTAGGGCGGTAGACTAGGGTGGTATGTCCCATCGTCTAGTGACCGGAATCTAAGGGGCCTTATAGTCCCAATGGTTTGGAGTGTACATTGTTCTCAACATACCCAAAGGTTGTTTTTCATAAACACGATGAGACTTATTCTTTGTTGATTGTGGCAAAATAGTAGATACGACCACCAACTCAACTTGAAGGAATTAAAAAATATTCAAACCCAACCCCCACAATGTTCCAAAAACACAAAAATAAATAAATAAATAAATAAATAAATAAATAAATAACAATAATAAAATGAACCTCACAACACAAAAAAGATAAAAGATGAAAATAAAAGTTGGTTTCTTTCGTTCCATCACTTGTTGACCAAACAAACAACAATCCAATTCAATTACACAAAAGAGTGGTCAAGACACTTTGCTGAAGTGTGCATCTATTTTTTGAAACAAGTTACAATATACAATATGAAGGCTTTGTTTGTTATATAGTTTTTGTCTAGCTATTAGTTGTTTGAGCCATTTTAGTTGTTTGACCAATGGCTAAACAAATTGTTTGGTAAATCATCTTTTTAAATTAACTCTTGGGGGAAAAATTGATGTTACAAACGCTTTAATTGGCAGTGAAGTTAACTTATGAGTGCAATTATTTATGTTGTATAATTATTCAATTAAATGGGATAATTAAGTTGGGATGGTGCAAAAGAAAAATAAAAAAGAAAAAAAAAGACAAATGGGATGTCGAAAAGAATAATTTATTGTGGTGTCCATTATTTTAGTCATTTCTTATTTTTGTGATTATAAAATAATGAACAGTTTTGGATAAACATTGTGTAGAAATTGTAACCCTAAATATTCATTGTTGTTTAATCACTATTTTAATGTTTATTAAATATTATTACATAAATTGTAGTTTTCTAAAATAATGATAATTGCTAATGATATCAAAATACACAACCATAATTGTAAGTAATTTTATACTTAAAAAATATGAAAACGCTAATTTATCAAATACTTTTTGTAATAATCCACTAATGTACAAGCTAGTCAAAACAGTTACTATAATCCGTTGGTTCAAAACAGCTAATACAATCCGCTAACAGCTAACCGCTAACAGCCGATTACCAAACAAGTCTAATTTTTTTTTTTTTTTTTTTTGAAACAACAGACCAAACAAAAAAATAAATAAATAAATAAATTGAAGAAAAGTAAAAAAATAAAAGAAAGTAATGTTACCCAATGTTACTTTCAGATTTACATGAATGTCATTATGAGACCGCAGAATCTGGACATGTTGGACTAGGGCTGCAAATGAGTCGAGCGGCTCACGAGCCGCTCGCGAGGGCTCGAGTCAAAGTTCGACACGAGCTCGAGTTTGATCGAACTCAAGTCGAGCTCGAGCGGCTCGAGCACGAACTCGAGTCGAGCTCGAGCCTATGTTTTGTCTTGTCGAGCGGCTCGTCGAGCGGCTCGAGATATACGTTAATGACAAAAATACCCCTTATTATATATATTAGCATAGGTGTTTAATGGTAATTGTATCTCATTTTCGAGCCGAACTCGAGCCGAGCTCGAGCATTTTGATTTCGAGTCGAGCTCGAGCTATTGTAATTTTTTATCGAGTCGAGCTCGAGCCTAAAAAATCGAGCTCGAACTCGAGCATTTAAAAAAATTAATCTTTCTCGATAACGCCATTGCTCGACTCGGCTCGGTTCGTTTGCACCCCTATGTTGCACATTTGCATCGCTCTTTCTTTCGTTCTGATGGTTCCGAGTTGGGCTGGGGTGGCGTGTGTCAATGAACATTAAATATTTTCAGCAGAAAAGAATCAAAGATGAAGAAAAAAAAAAATGATAACTGAATAAATTTACCCTAATAACCCCCGAACGATAATTAAATTAAAGCAGTAGTAGGGAGATTAGTGGGGATCCAAACCAGACATTGAATAGTGGAGTAGGATCACAAAATGGAGTGATCAGTGCTATATGTTCAATGAATGGTGAAGGTGTAGCATATGGAAAAGCAATTAGGGAGATGCAGTAGTGGCAGAGTGGAAGCTTTCTTTTAATCAGGCAACAAACAGGCTGGAAGAATTAATGGTGGAATTAAGGGATTGGCTAGGACAATGATTGAGAAGGTTGGGAAAAGGTGGTGGTGGATGTTGTAAATATTTTTACCGGAGTAGAATCGAAAGATTCAAACACCTGGTCGTATCGCAAGGAAGGTCAGCCGGAATATTGAGCACGTTTATTCACACACAAATAACAAAAATAAAAATCATAACATACTAATTCAAAGTTTGGATGATTTATATTATCTACTGCAAATAAATAAAATAAAGCAAGTAAATAGCAGACAATCACGTAGAACAAATAAGGTATAAGAAGCTAGGGAGTCGGAGATTCCCGCTTTGGTTCGATATGCAACTAACGGGAAAGTGATTGTTCAGCTAAGAAATTCGAATAATCTACTTGATCAAGCATTCATTCTCAATAACTATTCATAACAAGAGTAGGCATGGCCAGTCAACGGGCCGTGACCCAGCGGATCTCCTATGAGTGACCCTTATTCGGCCCGCCAAAGTTC